AGAATGGTGGGAGATGGGGTCATGGAGTTTGGTGCGGGAGAGGACACGGGCTGCAGAGTTCTGGATTATCTGCAGCTGAGGAGGGAGGAGTTGGGAAGGCCGACAAGCAGAGCGTTTGCATAGTTGAGCCTGGAGGTGATGAAGGCATGAACAAGGGTTTCAGTGGCCTGAGGGGTGAGGTAGTGGCGGAGTCGGGTGATGTTACGGAGGTGAGGGAAGGCAGAGCGGGTCATGGCTTGGATGTGGGAAAGAAAAGACAGTTGAGGGTCGAACAAAACACCCAGGTTCCTGACTGGCAGTAAACAGAGAGTAGGGATAAAGGGGTCCTTCTCAGATTGGCAGGTAGTGACTAGTGGAGTGCCGCAAGGATCAGTGCTCGAGTCTTAACTGTTTACAGTCTACATCAATGACTTAGTTGAGGAAATAGAGCTTAATATATCTAAATTCCCGGATAATACAAAGCTATGTGGGAAAGTAAGCTGTGAAGAGTTGAGAAAACATTTCTTCACTCAGAGGATAGTGAATTTATGGAATTCTCTACTCCAGAAGGCTGCGGATGCTCAGTCATTGAACATATTCAAGACTGAGATCGACAGATTTTTAAAAACTAAAGGGATTAAGGGTTATGGGGATAGGGCGGTTAAATGGAATTAGGTTAGAAGATCAGCCATGATCTTATTAAATGGCAGGGCAGGCTCGAGGGGCCGAAAGCCTACTACTGCTCCTATTTCTTATGTTCTTATTAACATGAGGAAACACAGAACCACATTCAATCAGTTTCTAGAATAAGAGGAAGTAGTCAATAATGCTCCTTCTGTACAGCAGCATTTACCGTCATTGGGAAACAGTGCTCTTCAAGTCACTGTAAATTTGAGGAAGGCAGAATCCATAACGGTAATAATAATAATCCTTGCATTTGATATAGCACTTTATCACATCATCGAGATGTCTCAAAGAGCTTCACAGAATATACTGTATTTTCAATTGGGCAAAACGTGGCAGCCAATTGGCAACAAACAGTCGTGGATTGAGTGACCAAATTATTATTTTTTTTAAATGTTGTAATAAAAGAGCACGCAGGGACTACTGCTCAGATGTCCTCAAATTGCCTTCTGATATCTGTTGAGAGCCAATGGGATTATCACCTCTTCAATTATTAAAGCATGACCAGCAATCCAGGGAATAGTGCTTGCACTAACTATAAAACTATCAAAATTTAAATCCCTCGTCTCTCCATCCGGTCAGCAAACAGGCTGCTTGATGTCCCTCACCCATTCTGCCCCATCATTGGTGGGTAAACTTTCAGTCACTTTGCTCCGTTTTCTCTGGAACTTTCCACCTTGCCCCCACCTCTTTCAGATACATCTCGACGGCACTTTCAGCTCCCTTCTCCCCTCCAACCCCACCACCCCTCACAACTCAGGCTGCCAGTCAGTTGTGTGAAGCACTTTTTAGAAAACTTCTCCCTACATGAAAGGTGCTACATAAATGTAAAACGTTTAAGAAAGGATGTACTCACCTTGGAGGGGGTACAACGTAAATTCACTAGGTTGGTACCTGGGATGAGAGGGATGAGTTATGAGGATAGGTTGAGCAATTTAGGCCTATATTCTCTAGAATATAGAAGAATGAGAGGTGATCTTATAAAAACCTATAAGATTATTAAGGGGCACGACAGAATAGACAGTGGGAGACTTTTTCCCCTGGTTGGAGAAACTATAACCAGGGGTCACAGTCTTAAAATTAGGGGTAAGCCCTTTCGCACTGAGCTGAGGAAAAACTTCTTCACTCAGAGGGTAGTGAATTTATGGAATTCTCTACCCCAAAGGGCTGTAGATGCTCAGTCCTTGAACAAATTCAAGCCTGAGATTGATAGATTTCTTGTGGATAAAGGGATTAAGGGATATGGGGATAAGGCCGGTGGGTGGAGTTAGAATGGATCAGCCATGATCTTATTGAACGGCGGGGCAGGCTCGAGGGGCCGAATGGCCTACTCCTGCTCCTAATGTTTATGTTCTTATGTTGTTGTGTATCTCCACTTATGCAATTTGCATATTGTACCAACATAAGAACTCCAAGTGGGTTCAATATTGACACTCAAGAGTGTACAAGGAAAGGCTTGTCCAATACATATTCCTTCCCTTACCTCTCATCTTCATCCCCTCACTCAGGCCCAACCTTCCTGTTTCCATTTTATCTCAAATGCAAAGCTCCTGGTTTCTCTGAACTTTCCTCTTCAATTATTTAATCTCATCACACATGCAACAACAACAAATTACATTTGCACATTTCATGTTGGGATAATGCCCCGAGGCGCTTCTCCACCTCCCAGCATTAAAATCCTCTCTCCCATTCTAAGTCAAACTTTTCTAATACTGCAACCACAAAAACATAGAAATTTACAGCAAAAAAAGGATTTTCGGCCATTGCGTCTTTGCTGCAAATTTAAGGAGCAATCATTTCAGTCCCATTACCCTACCCTTTCCCCGACGTCTGTCATTTATTCCTTTTTAGATCCGTATCTTGCTCTCTTCTGAATGCCAATATGGATTCTGCCTCAATCATTGCTCCCGGCAGAGTCAAACTACTTGGTGCTGAACGAAGTTTCTCCCATTTGCTTGTTTGTTAACTATCTTAAATTGATGCCCTATAGTCAATGACTCATCACCAACCACTAGAAATAATTTTTCCTTATTGAACTATCAAAAACCCCTCATAATTTTGAAGACCTCTATCTATCAGGTCAGCTCATATCTTTTTGTATTGCTTCCCTTTTGGCTTTAAAACTTTCGGCTAAAGACCTTTCTTTTCGACTGCGCTTTTGGTCACCTTCTTCTCCCTCCCCTGGCTCGGCCCCGGGATCCGTTATTGTGAAGTGCTCTGAGACGCCGTCAGGCGTGGAGGGCGCTATATAAATCCAAGTTGTTTTTGTTGTTGTAAGCCTTGGTGAAGAGCTTAACTAATCTTGCTTCTCTGCTGCACTTTTCAAACTCAGTGATACAGTACACAGCACCATAGGTCTTGACCCTTCACCTAGTTTCTAAAATAAAAACCCTGCAAGGTTTCTCAATTGCATGTGTAAAGTGTAGCAACTGTATATTTTGCAGGCAAAACGTGGCAGTCAGTTGCACACTGCAATGTCCCACAAACAGCTGTGGATTGAGTGACCCAATTTTTTTAAAAAAAGGGACTAGTAGTCTCTAGAAAGTGATCCGCTAATCAACCAACAACTGGGTTCCTACTTACTCTTAGGTAAAGAGATGTGTGGAGTGAGGAAACGTGTCTAAAACTTGCCTAAAGTTTACCCCCAGACCCAGAATTGAACCCGGCCCCTCTCACTTGCAAGGTAAGTGCTCTAACCAATAAGCTACAGGACTCCTTGTTGTAGTATAAGGGCACAATTTCCCCCAAAGTTGTGGTATAAAATTATTATTGAAAGGAATGTACAATACAAGCAGCTCCAAACAATGAAGGAGTCCTGCTTCAGTTCCCGATCCAATGCTAAATAACCTGTTTTACAATTTAGTAAAGAAAAGCTTTATTGCAAGCCCCCAAGCTGTTGTGACCCTATTCCAGTTTTCGTGGTCTGGATCCAGCTGCCAACTATTTTACAGGAACCAATATTGCACGTGAATTTTGCTTAATGTTCACATGAGAATCAGAGAAAAGAATCATATCAGTTTGCTGAAACTCAGCAACCCCCCCCCCCCACCCACACAACACCGGGTAACTTCTGTTTGAGTCCCTGGTTCATGGACTTGTGAACACTGGCAACCACCTATCACTTCCTGGACCCACTTTTCAAGGGCTTTCCAATCCTCCCAAACCCAACACGGCCCAACAACTTTGAGCTCTGGCCGAGAAGTTTTCCTGTTCCCCTGTTGTTGCAGGGAACAGATGATGAGAAAATAAAACTAGATACAGAGCCCTAAATCTCTCTCCTTCCCCACAAACCACTACCACAATCTCCCTTCAAGTACTTCAACCCCAGAAAAAAAGCCATTCACATAGCTACTGAATGCTTTCCTCTTTGACCAGTTTGTCTCATTTGTTATACAATATTATGTTATAATTAACACGACATTAAAACGTGGAGTCCTGTAGCTCAGTGGTTAGAGCACTCGCTTTGCAAGCGAGAGACCCGAGTTCAATCCCAGGCAGAGGGCGAAACCTTGGGCAAGTTTCCTTACTCCACACAGAGCCTAATAATAATCCCTCCGAAAACCCAAAACAATAATAAATTGATCATTTTCAACCCACGGCTGTTTGTGGGGGGCGCCGCTGTGCGCAAGCGGCTGCCGCGTTTCTCCCACAAATATACAGTCAATTCACTTTACCGTCTGTTCCGTGAAGGCTCTGAGGACGCCGAGGAGCCGTGAGAAGCGCTACTGTCAAATGCGAGGATTATTATCATTATTATAACCACCACAACGTATTATCGGTGTCAGCGAGACTTTAGTAGATTAACAGGGCGGTGAGGGCAGGTTGAAAGTCAATAAATACTCTCCCAAAAGTAACGCAGGTGCCACCGATAACTGCCGGGCGCTGTACCTGTGTGTGTGTGTGTGTGAGCCCCGGGGATTGATGCCCCGTCAGTCAGCGCTTTACAGTCACAGCAGCGCCCGATGAAACGTCTTGAAGCTCTTCCGAGCGGAGCTGTGGTGGTACCGCGCGGGAGAGAGAGAGAGAGAGAGGGAGAGAGAGGCTCCGCTCCGCTCGGTGGCCGCCCAGGGCGAGGGCGAGGGCGAGGCCGCGCGCTTCGGCTCCAAAGCCGCGGGAGGACAACCGACTGACAAGACCGACCGACACGTCGGGGCAGCCCCCGAGCCCCCCCTCACCCACCCACCCACCCCCGACACCCGGAGAGACCATGACAGTAAGAGCACAAGAGGCGGTGCGAGGCCGAGGCCTGAGGCCTGAGCTGAGCAGAGCCTCCACATTCACTGCCCTCCCCGAGACCCCCCCCCCACCCCACCGCGTTGACCAACCGACCGACCGACCTTCGGACGTCAGGCGGCAGAAAGGCCTGACCAGCTCGGCGAAGCTCAGGTTGTTTTTCCTGGTCGCCGCCTCGGCCTCGGGGCTGCACAGCGCGGCCACGGTGGGCACGAAGGTGTCCTGGAGGAACTCCTGCACACTCTGCACACACTGCGCCATCACCCCCTCACACCCCCACACCGGCCGCGGACTCCCGGCCACTTCACCGGTGATGTGACTCGCCGCTCTGCTCCGAGTCGCTGTCGGCTCCTCTCAACAGGAGGAGGAGGAGGCGGCGGCGGCGGCGAGCGGCGCCATGTCCGACCACAATCGTTTCCCCCCCTCCCACTGGTCCGCGAGTCACCGCCACACCGACCCCTCCGCGCAACAACACGCGCGGCGCACTTTGGTTCCGCTTATTTTACCTTCCCCCCCCTCCCCCACCCCCACCCACCACCCCAACCACCTCTCTCTCTCTCTCTCTCTCTTAACACCACATAACCATAATAATAACCCTCGCATTTGCTTATCACGTCTTCGAGACGTCTCAAAGGATACACTGTAAATTGGTCATTTTCAACCCACGGCTGTTTGCGGGACGTCGCTGTGCGCCATTGGCTGCCGCGTTCGCCCATAAATATACAGTCAATTCACTTTACAGTGTGTTCTGTGAAGCGCTTTGGGACGTCCTCCCGACGTGAAAAGCGCTATATCAAATGCAAGGATTATTATTATTATTATTACTGTGAAGTGAATTGACTGCGTATTTTGCGGGCGAAACCCGGCGGCCAATTTCGCGCGGCGGCATCCCCGCAAACATGTCGTGACCGAATTGTTGTTGTTATTAATTTATAACGCATGCCTGGAAATGTCATTCTTGGGTTGGACATACGTGGAGACCAGCTTGGTTTGGATACTCTGAACCATGGTGATGGCTCTCCGCATGTGGCAGACACCCACCCGGCTGACCAAAAGAAAATCGCATGCATTACAGAATTTTTGACAGGATTACGCTGTCAGAGTGAAGTGACTGTCTGCTGTGTGGGTGAGCGCAACAGCCAAATTGCTTACTCGCAGCTCTAATAATTATTCTTGCATTTGATATTGCGTCGTTGAGCCGTCTCAAAGCGCTTCATAGAGTATATTATGAAGTGTGGCGACTGTGTGCTTTGCGGGCAAATTACCAATTTGTCCGGTCCAGAAGTCACTACCACACCGTCCCCATTGGGCAACAACAGGTGACATACATAACAAGAATAGGAGAATCTATAACCAGGGGTCACAGTCCTAAAATTAAGGGTCAGCCTTTTAGAACAGAGTTGAGGAAACATTTCTTCACTCAGAGGGCAGTGAATTTATGGAATTCACTCCCCCAGAAGGCTGTAGATGCTCAGTCCTTGAACACCTTCAAGGCTGAGACTGATAGATTTTTTAAAAATAGAGGGATTAGGGGATATGGGGAGAGGGCAGGTAATTAGAGTTAGGTCTGAAGATCAGCCATGATCTTATCAACTGGCAGGGCAGGCTCGAGGGGCTGAATGGCCTACTCCTGCTCCTAATTCTAAAAAAAACGTACGTTGACCCCATGTCTGCGGATGATGTCACCAAGAGGGAGCATGTACAAGTTGAAGAGAAGAGGACCGAGGACAGAGCCTGAGGGACACCACATGAGATGGTGCAGGGGCTGGAAGAGAAACCATTTGTGGAGACACAGATGTCAGAATTTGTGTCTCATTTGTCTAGTTAGTCAGATCTAGTTCAGGGTTAGGTTTGCTGAACACCTCCTGAAGGAGTGAGATACCTGGCTGAAGGCTTGTCCAGTGTGTCATGCTTGCTCAGGTTGTCCAGAGACTTTTAATCCTTCCTATACCACGTGTACTGACCTGGGATTTACAGCCATTCAGGCATTAAATCAAATGCATGTATAATTATGGAGTGTTTGATAACTCTGTGACTTGCCCAATGACCAGCACCTCTCCTCTGCTACATTTTAGCATCTTGGGATGTCCTCCCAACATGAAAGGCGTTATACAAATGTGATTTTGTATTATATCTGTCTTTCCCTTCTATGTGCTCTATGAAGCATAGTGGTTAGCGCGCTCACCTCGCAAGTGAGAGGATTCCCGGTGGGTGGGAGAGGGGTGGGGGGAAGCTTAGGCAAGTTTTCTGACTCCACACACCTCTATTTCCCAGCAGTAAGTAGGATCCTGGTTCTTAGTTGGTGGATCACTTTCCGGGGGTAATAATCCCTCCCCAAAAATCGATCACTCAATCAGCGACTGTTTGTGGGAAATGCTGTGAACAAATTATACAGTCACTCCACAATATATCCCATGAAGCGCTTGGAGACGACTCAATGATGCGATAAGCGGTATATCAAATGCAAGAATTATTATTATTATTAATGAGATCATTGCTTTTTTTTTCACATGGGGGACAGATCTCCGAACAAAAGACAAGATATTCAGGAGACCATCTTATATGCTTGCTATGATGATACATTTGTCCTCGATCCAGCATGCTTTAGTGCTCTGAAATATCACCAAGCCCAAGTTCAAACATGGCCTTTGTAGATTGGGAGAGGAGTGTATTTGCTGATATGCTCACTTCTGTTTTTTGGGACCTGGTGTTCTACTTCTAGAGTTAGTATAATGTGTGAATGCATTTTTTTTTTGGTCAGCTGGATGTTTGACGCATGCGCAAACCCTCACCATGCTTAAGGTTGGTCCAAACCAACCTGAGAATTCCATGCATCCCACCTACACGTGGAAATTCCAGAGATAGATTCCAGAGATAAGCACTTTGGGACACTACCCTGCATGAAGGGCGCATTACAAATGCAAGTTGATGTTGTTATTGATTGTTGGAATGGAATGCGCACTCTCTCCTTGGAGGGACACATCCTGCTTACCTAATTCTGGAAAATATTGGATGCAGGTTGGCAAGAGCTGAGGCTTGGGGATCGCATAGTGTGCGTTGGGGTAACTGCTGGAGTCTAACCAGCTAAAATAGTATAGTTTGCCATTGATATCTTTGTCCGACAAGCTTTCCAGCTGCTTGTCCAGCTAGGACCACCCTGCCCGTTAGAGCTTTGGCTTGCAGGGTTAACAGGAGCTGAGTGGGATGATCCCCTGCCCCCAGTGACAGTGACATTCAGTGCGAAGACAAACAACCTCGTCAGAAACTAAAGAACCAACGAACGTTTATTTATTGCAATGATTGCATTGAATTGACAGAATATAAACATGATAAGAAAACACAATAGAATAATACAACTTTGAGAGTTTCGGGGTGTAGGGGCTGAAAGCAAAGTGAACGAGGTTACAAGCAGGAGGCTGGAGCTAGTCGAGTGCAGGCAGCGGGTAGTGGATTGGGGGAGTAAGCAGGATAGCATCTCGGAGTGCTTAACAGTGGCAGACCTTCGTTTCAAATCTATAGACAAAACGCAAAATACTTCAGATGCTGGAAATCTGAAAACACAAACAGAAGTCGCTGGGAACACTCAGCAGGTCAGGCAGCATCTATGGAGAAAGGAAAGTGAGTCAACGAATTCTGATGAAGGTTCGTGTACCCAAACGTTGACTCACTTTTTGCCGTGTGCTTTACAACATTTGTACTTGACTTGTGACTTATCTGTTCTATCCACTCAGGGGCAAGGATTGTCAAACTTTTAAACTCCAGTTTAGGTTGGGACGTAATGAAAGTCATTTATTTCATAATCACTGAGGCACAATATCGTAATTTCACACGAGAGAAGGCATGATAATGCTGTATGCGAATCGTAATCAGAAACAAACCCCCAGTTACCCACCATGTCCAACAGATGATGACCAAATTTCAGTCATTTTCACCGAGACATAAAAATAATTCCATACTTCAAAGACCGGAAAATTACAGTGAGAATAATCTTATACAACTTACTGCTTACAAAGCAAAGACACCAGCACGAAGCAAATGTTTTCAATTAACTTCTTAATGCTACAGAGTACAATTCATTTCCTAAGACAATGTAAGTGTCCCATATCTGTTCCAAAAACTTCTTACGGAAAATAGCGATCAAAAATATTGAAAATTGAAACAAAGCACTTCTTCAAACACAGCACTTTTCCATTCACTTTTTCAGTACCAACAACCAGAGATCTGTTGACGGTTGTTTCAAACATCTCTTCTTCAGCTCCAAGTAGGTCAGATTCTCCTTGGTGTTGGGATCGAAGAAGCCTTTGGTGTCATCCCCAGGATCTTCCAGGATCCGGTTCATCTCCTCGTCAAACAAGCCTTGTTTGTAGGCCACGTGCACAGGGAGACGGTGGCTGTTCACCGGGTCAATGATGCCCCCAGTGGCGATCTGTGCCTCCAGCAGGCGAATCCCATGTTGCTTCACAATCAGGTCCTTCTTCAGGGCCTGGAACAAGGAGATGGTGTTCCCCGTGTAGGGGTCTTTGTACCCGGTCACCGCTCGCTCCGCGGACAGTAGTTTCGCGTGCAACTCTGGGCCAATGATCCTGGCTTTGACCGCTTCATCCACGGAGTGGTTCAGGTTCTTGACCGGGTCAATGACAAAGCCGGTCGCTGCTTGAGCTTCCAACAGGACCAAAGCTGTTCCTGGCATGAGCCAGTGTTGCCTCTTGGCTTCATAAATGCTCATGGTTTGGTTGGAGGATTCAAGCAATACTCCAGCTATGCTGCCCGTTCCTTCCAGGTATTTCTTCACGAGGTCCATCTGGCTGATCTCGATCACCGTCTTTGTGCCACATTTCAGGTCTTCGTACATTTGCTTGTCGATGATGTCGGATTCTAAGAGTCGTTTGGCAGTGACGTCCGATCTGAGACCTGTGAAGGTTTCTTTTACCTCGGTCGTTTCCGTTTGCTCAATAATACAGATGAGCCTTGTAATGACTGATTCAATGCTCAATTTTCCTGTGTTAAACTGTTCCACCAGATCCATTCTGTCTTCTTCAGTCAGGTACTCTGAGTGATATGCCTCCCAGACACTGACCGTTTTCCCTTTGTACTTGCCACAAGAGAGACTGACGGTGGCTTTTTTGAAGGCAGCACTGCTCTGATCGTTCAGGTGTTTCTGGCTTCCCAGAGATAACAGACAGAGTCCGGTGTCGGAGTCGGTCACACATCTCTTCTTCAGCTCCAAGTAGGTCAGGTTCTCCTTGGTGTTGGGATCGAAGAAACCTTTGGTGTCATCCCCAGGGTCTTCCAGGACCTGATTCATCTCTGCGTCAAACATGCCTCGATCGTACGCCACATGCACGGGCAGTCGGTGGCTGTGGACTGGGTCAATGATGCCGCCAGTGGCGATCTGTGCCTCCAGCAGACGGATCCCATGGTGATAGACAATCAGGTCCTTCTTCATGGCCTGGAACAAGGAGATGGTGTTCCCCGTGTAGGGGTCCTTGTACCCCGTCACCGCTCGCTCTGCGGACAGTAGTACTTGGTGAAGCTCTGAGCCGATGACCTTTGCCTTGACCGCTTCGTCAACAGACAACTTCAGGTTCTTGACCGGGTCAATGATAAGGGTGCGTGTGGCTGGGGGTGAGGGGGTGCGTGTGGCTTGGGGTGAGGGGGTGCTTGTGGCTGGTGGTGAGGGGGTGCGTGTGGCTGGGGGTGAGTGGCAGTGTGTGTGGCTGGGGTGAGGGGCAGTGCGTGTGGCTGTGGGTGAGGGGGTGCGTGTGGCTGGGGTGAGGGGGAGTGCGTGTGGCTGGGAGTGAGGGGGTGCGTGTGGCTGGGGGTGAGGGGTGCGTGTGGCTGGGGGTGAGGGGTGCGTGTGGCTGGGGTGAGGGTGCGTGTGGCTGGGGGTGAGGGGGAGTGCGTGTGGTTGGGGGTGAGGGGGTGCGTGTGGCTGGGGTGAGGGGGTGCGTGTGGCTGGGGGTGAGGGGTGCGTGTGGCTGGGGGTGAGGGGGAGTGCGTGTGGTTGGGGGTGAGGGGTAGTGCGTGTGGCTGGAGGTGGGGGTTAGTGCGTGTGAAAGGAGGTGGGGGGTAGTGTGTATGGCTGGAGGTGGGGGGTAGTGTGTGTGAAAGGAGGTGGGGGGTAGTGTGTGTGGCTGCGGTGGGGGCTAGTGTGTGTGGCTGGGGTAGGGGGGTAGTGTGTGTGGCTGGGGTGGGGGGTAGTGCGTGTGGCTGCGGGTGAGGGGGTGCATGTGGCTGGGAGTGAGGGGGAGTGCGTGTGGCTGGAGGTGGGGTGTAGTGTGTGTGGCTGGGGTAGGGGGGTAGTGTGTGTGGCTGGGGTAGGGGGGTAGTGTGTGTGGCTGGGGGTGGGGTAGTGTGTGTGGCTGGGGGGGGGGTAGTGTGTGTGGCTGGGGTGTTGGGGTGTGCGTGTGGCTGGAGGTGGGGGTAGTGCGTGTGGCTGGAGGTGGGGGTAGTGTGTGTGGCTGGAGTGGGGTAGTGCGTGTGGCTGGAGGTGGGGGGTAGTGCGTGTGGCTGGAGGTGGGGGGTAGTGTGTGTGGCTGGGGTAGGGGGTAGTGTGTATGGCTGGGGTAGGGGGGTAGTGTGTGTGGCTGGAGGTGGAGAGGTAGGGCTTGTGTGGCTGGCGTGGGGGGTAGTGCGTGTGGCTGGGTGGGGGTAGTGTGTGTGGCTGGGGTGAGGGTGTAGTGTGTGTGGCTGGGTAGGGGTAGTGTGATGGCTGGGTAGGGGGTAGTGTGTGTGGCTGGAGGTGGAGAGGTAGGGCTTGTGTG